CTCTGGGGTCGTGTTCTTTTAACTTGTTCTTCTCGAACCGTTTGCTATTTGTTTGCAAATTCTCTAGTCTCTTTCGAGCGGTTTGCTCCTTCTTCTGAGACTCTCTAGTTCCTTTCGCGCGGTTTGCTCCAAGTTTCCAATTTCTCTAGTTTCCTTCGAAATTCTCTAGTCTCTTTCGAACGGTTTGCTCCTCTGAAATTCTCTAGTTCCTTTCGAACGGTTTGCTCCTTGTTTCCAATTTCCCTACTCTCTTTCGAAATTCTCTAGTCTCTTTCGAGCGGTTAGCTCCTTATTGTGAAATTCTCTCTTTCTTTTCGAGCGGTTTGCTCCTTGTTTTCAAAATCTCTAGTCTCTATCTCGTCTGTTTCGAGCGGTTTTCTCTGGTTCTTTTCAAGCGGCTTGCTCCTTGTTCTCAAACTCTCTAGTCTCGTTCGAGCGGCTTGCAACTTGTCCTGAAACTCTCTAGTTCCTTCCGAGCGGTTTGCTCCTTGTTCTCAAAGTCTCTAGTCTCTTTCGAAGTTCTCTGGTCTCTTTCGAGCGGTTTGCTCCTTGCTCTGAAATTCTCTAGCTCCTTTTGCTCTTTGTTTTAAATTCTGAAGTCTCTTTCGAAATCCTCTGGTCTCTTTCGAGCGGTTTGCTCCGGTGTTTTCAATTTCTCTAGTCTCTATCGACATTTTCTAGTCTCTTTCGGGCGGTTTGCCCCTTCTTCTGAAATTCTCCAGTTCCTTTCAAGCGGGTTGCTCCTTGTTCTTAAATTTTCTAATCTCTTTCGAGCGGTTTGCTCCTTGTTCTGAAGTTCTCTAGTTTCTTGCTAGCGGTTTGCTCCTTGTTTTCAGATTCTCTACTCTCTTTCGAAATCCTCTAATATCTTTCGAGCGGTTTGCTCCTTGTTCTGAAATTCTCTAGTTCCTTTCGGGCCATTTGCTCCTTCTGAATTTACCCAGTCTCTTTCGAAACTTTGTGGTCTCTTTCGATCAGTATGCCCCTTTTTCTGAAACTCTGTAGTTCCTTTCGAGTGGCTTGCTCCTTGGTGGAAATTTCTCTGGTCTCTTTCGAACTAGTCTATTTCGAGCGGTTTGCTCCTTCGTCTGAAACTCTTCAGTTCCTTTCGACCGGCTTGCTTTTGGACTTGAATTTATCTAATCTCTTTCGACAATATCTAGTGTTTTTCACGAGTGGTGTGCTCCTTCTTCTGCAATTCTCTAGTTCCTTTCGAGCGGTATGCTTCTGGTTTCATATTTTCCAGTCTTTTGGAAATCTCTGGTCTCTTTCGAGCAGTTTGTTCCTTCTTCTGCAATTCTCTAGTTCGTTTCGAGCGGTTTGCTCCTTGTTTTCAAACACTCTAGTCTCCTGTTTTCAAATTCTCCTGTCTCTTTCCATGTTCTTTAGTCTCTTTCGAGCGTTTTGCTCCTTCTGCTGAAAGTCTCTAGTTCCTTTCGAGCGCTTTGCCCCTGGTTTGCAAATTCTCTAGTCTCTTCCGAAATTCCCCAGTCTCTTTCGAGCGGTTTGCTCCTTCTTCTGAAATTCTCAGTTCCTTGTGATGTCTCTAGTCTCTTTCGAGCGGTTTGCTCCTGGTTCTCAGATTCCCTAGCCGCTTTTGAGCGGTTTGCCTGTTTGTGTCAATGTCTCTCGTCTTTTCCACGAAGTGTGTTCCTGTATCTGTCCCTTTCGAGCGGTCTGTCCTTGTTTTCAATATCTTTAGTCTCTTTCGGGCAGTTTGCTACTTCTTCTGATATTCTGTAGTTCCTTTCGAGCGGTAGCGGTTTGCTCCTTGTTTTCAAATTCCCTAATCTCTTTCGAAATTCTCCATTCTCTTTCCGGCGGTTTGCTCCTGCTTCTGGAATTCTCTAGTTTCTTTCGAGCGGTTTGCCTCTTTTTCAATTTCTCTAGTCTCTGTCGAGACTATCTCGTCTTTCGAACGGTTTGCTCCTTCTGAAATTGACTAGTTACTTAGTTCCTTTCGACAGGTTTGCTCCTTGTTTTCCACTTCTCTAGGCTTGTTTTGAAATTCTCTAGTCCCTCTATATTCGAATTTAAACCCTGCAAGGACCAAAGCCTGAGCATTTTAAATCGAATTTAAACTTTGCGGCGAGGACAACTTGCAGATTGTAATTTGGATTTAAGCTGCAGTCGACACTCCCGGATTAGATTCGAATAAAACCCTTGCATTGAAAAGGGGCTTTAAATCCCAATTTTACGACCCATGCGAGATTACATTCAAATCCAATCTCCCTCCATACCGGGAGATTATTCAATGTGGAAGTAAATTCTAATTTATGCCTTCGCCACCGTAAATGACCGTAAAGCATTGAAATCGAATCTGAGCCCTCAAGCCGGGCACCAGAACCCCACACAGAAAAGGCGTATAATCGAATTTAATTCCACATTGAATCTGAAACTCTACCATATTCTACCATCATCAACATGCAACGAACCCTCAGAGACTACCAACCACCGGCGTCCTGCGTGCTTGGATCCGTGTCCTGCAGCGGCGTGAATGTCTTCTGGATGTTTAAAACAAGCCGACACCAAGGCATTTGGGCAGGTCCAATCTGCTGCTACTGCTGCTGCTGCTGCCGCCTGTAATTACAACGACAATGGCAACTGCAACTACAACGACAGCTACACTACTGCTACTGCGACTGCGATTGCTGCGGCCTCCTCTCTACTTGGCTGATCTTGGCTGTATGAAGCCCTGGCCTGGCACCAGGGACCGCGGTAGGGCACCGGGCAATCGGTGCCGTGGCTGCCGCCGGCCTTTGGTCAGCTCTCTACGTCTTTGGGGCTGCAAGGGGCTGCTTCCACCCGTCGAAGAGCGCTCGGTCTCGATTCCGAGCGATATTCGAGCGATCGTTTAGGAACGTTAGCACCGTTAGAACCAAGCAAGTCCACGCTTCAGTGCTTCCTCGCTCGGCCGGGTTCTGGGTCAAGCAAGGCCTTCTCTGCCCTCGCCCAGAAACGCCGGAGCGTGGGCCTTGGGTACGACCGGGGGACTTCACGATCTGCAACTGCCGCAGGTACAACACACCTATGCGCAAGATTTGCAATTTGTTGTATATCCTATGAGTACAGTACAGCCAGGAAACCCAATCACAAACTTTGGAATCTGACTGCGGGCCCCACCTGCCATGCCAGACCTCGACAAAAAGCCCTCCCATCCTCATCGCAACACGAAAAACACCGCGGCCCAAGCGGCAGAGCCTCTTTCGCGGTTTCGGCCTCGGCGCAGCCTTGGGCACCCGAGGCCTCGCTGGCCTTCCGCCACTTCAGGGAGGATTTAGCTATCATCGGGGTCCCTCGGCCGAATGCCCTTACCAGTGGAGATCAGCATGATTCCGTGAAGCAACTTATAAAGCATAACCCCAACTCTGCTCTCGGAGTCTTGAGGCCTCCAAGCCCATGAGGTACCGAGAAAGCGGCGAGCAGAACCAGCCCAGCCGCCACTCCTCGAACTCCTCGTCGGGCTCGGGAACTAGGATTTTAGGCGTGGGCCGAAAGCTTAGAGGAGTGGCCTTCATCTCGTCAGGTGCCATCTCCGCAAAGGCACTGTGCACGTACACTGCGTAGAGGTGCTCGACCTCCCCCGCTGCACCCTCTTTAAGGGCCAAAAGCAGGAGATATCCCCAGCAGCGAGCAGCCTCGCTACGATGCAGCTACAAAGACGAAACCCGTAAAAAGAAGAGGTCTTGCCTGGAGCAGGGAGTAGGACAGCGGCCGCAGCACCTCTGTGGTGCTGGCCAGGGAGCACTGAGCGGCCACGGCGCCTCGCGCCAGCTGCTCTGGCGACTTCCGCCAGTAGCCAGCAAAGGCGGTAGTGAAATTGGGCTCTGCCTTTCCGCGACAACAGTTCTGGAGTGAGAAACCTTTATCCTACACACCCTGCATGCTCCTGGGGCATGGGCCAACGCCGGTGGCGGCAGCAGAGGGTTGATGGCCACATAAACGAGTTTGCTAATCTCAGGGATGCTCCGCAGCTGGAATCCGATGAGGAGCGTGCAGCTTCACTGAGGGCAAGGCTGTCATGCTCTCTGCACGCAGCATTTCGACCTCGTGCTTGCGAGGGATATCCCGCGATCCATCAGAGACCGGGTCTCTGTTTGCCGCGCGCCTGGGCCCCGGGCCACATCCCGACAGTTGCCGACCAGCGGAGAAACTGAAGCAGGCACGGATCCCCAAAAAAAACACAGCATCCACCCACTCCCGTTTCTGCACTTTGGGGCCTACCAGCACGTCCATGGGTTCTGGCGGCGCCACCACGCCGTCTCCTGTGGCAGGAGGCTGAGACAAATACTTCTCATGTCAGAGCTTTGCTTCCGAGGCGTCGGCGTAGGGACTGGATTTCGAAAGGGGTCGGGTGCACGCGCTGCCCCTTCCACCTCCGGGGCTCGTACCTGCACAAGCAAAGCAGGCCCCCATAATGCACCGCCCTTCCACCCCCAAAGCCGCATGACCCGCCGCATTTTGACCCGGCCTGGCCTGGCCACGGTCTTGTCCGCCCTCGCCGAGTCCATGTAGACGTAGCCGGCCCAGCCCTGCTCCTCGTGCGACCGGAAGCCGTGGGGACTCAGCCCCAGCATGTGCCCACTGTGCCCACCCAACTTTCTCCGCCATCCTGGAAACTTACGTCTAGCCCGCTGACATCCAGGTACGTCCACCAACCGCCAACCGAGCGCTCCTGCAGACACGCCGTCGGGTCGTAGAGCACCTCGCATATATCCAGCAAATGCTCCCTTCCTTACTCCACTTCTTCCGCCCAGGCCTCCGTCTGCGTGTGGCAGCGAGGCTCCGGCAAGTCCAGGGAGCGCAGGGCCCTCCAAAAGGAAGCGCAGAAAGAACTGCACAGCCGTGGGCATCCCCCCACGAGCTACAGCAGACACACACTCTGTTCTAACTGGGTGCGCACCAGAAGGTGTAGCTCAAGGAGGACCCCAGGCGCCCACCAGAACCAAGGGCCTCGGCTTGGCTTGAACGGCTAGTGTGTGTCCAAGCTGGCGAGGTGGGCTTTACCGCTCTGAACTCGATCCGACCCTTCCACACTTGACAAAAGTCTTGACAAAGCCTCCAGGAGCGTCGCTGCCCCGTGGCCGTGCCAGGCCCAGTAGCCTCGAGGCTGACACGTGAGAACAGATTGGACAAGGGACTGCGCTAACCTTCCCTCGACTGCTCCACCAGGCGGCCGGTAGAATCGGCCCACGTCCGACGCTCCGGCATCCAGCTCGTGTGACTCGAGGCCCTCGACGCTGCGATCGGCAGCGATGGAAAATGACAGCAAAGGCATCACAACCATGACCAAAATTCATTAGGGGGTGGCAGTCGTTGCATAGGGACTCGCCTCGACCAAATTCATTGCCAAGATCACTCTTCTACATGAGCACCGACCACCATTACCACAAAACCCTAGCGACCGCCGCGGCAAGGACCACAACTGCAAGATCACTAAGAGCACCGGGGAGGCTACCACCCAAATGCTGCATGTTTCGCAGCCACTGCCGCTAAGACATCGAGTTCAGGCAGCAGGCGCACGCAGGCTGGCACTGCACAAGCGCCGCATGTTGGCATGGGCAACTATCAAGAACCGCACCCTAGAAGACGCCACAGCAGAGCCCTGTATGCTGCTGGTTGTTCCTACGCTTGGCAAGGCTGGAAGGCTAGAGTTGACGCGTCTTGGACCGGACTTGGAAACGGCAAGGGCTGCAAGGGGCTCCAAGGTTTGGGCTTGACTCCCATCTCCCGATTAACACCTCTCTCAGTCCATCGGATCTTAAACTTTTCGTTAACGGCTCTTTGGCTCAAGCCCTAAGCCCTAAACGCTCTCGATCCTAGGCCCTGAGCGCCCCAAGCCTGTAGCCCCTCTTTGTTGGCCTGGAGGTTTGGAGGCGGCTGCTGTTTTCAGCGGTGCAGAGCCGGGAGCTCCGCGAGAAAAGCAGCTCGGCGCGGTCCGGCCGGGAGTGGCCGATGGAATTCATGAAGACCGGCCTTAGTGGAACATGGAAGCTTCAACAGAGGAACGACCTGGAGGTCGGAGAGCTAGAGCAGCTAGCAGTCCAGGCAGGCAGACTTGCAACGCACGAGGCCCTCTGTGGGGGCTTTGGATCGTTGGGGACAGGTCTGCTGCAGGGCCTTCCACGGCCAAAATCAGTCGAGTGCGCCGAGGGGCATCTCGTCGAACCACTGCGGCACGTGCTCCAGGAAGGCCAGGTGAGTCGGCACGTCGAAGGTCTGCTCCAGGCGCATCAGTTTCCGATACCGCAGAAACCTCCAGGCACGGAACAAACAAAAATGCCGAAAATGCCAACCACATGAATGCACGACATTGCATTCCGGTACTGAGCCCAGGAGCATGCTGGAGGAGAGCTCGAGCGCCGAGGAGACGTTCTGCTGCACAAAGGTCCTCGTCTGGTCGGCGGCGCACGGGTGGTCTTGTCTTGAACTATATCTGGAAGCTGCTGGTATAGAGAGCGCGTTGTTACCACGACAGAAACAAAGACTCCGCAACATAACAAGAAATATTGGCACCACGACAGAAAAACAACTTCACCATGACAGCGCATTGAAATTCTCACCACGACGACAAGGCATGAAAACCTCACCACGACAAGACATCAGCAGCAGAAGCAACAAAGCTGGACATATCATCAGCATCAGCATGTCAGCACCACCACAAGGCATGAAAACCTGACCACGATGAGGCATGAAAGCCTCACCATGTTCAGGCATCAGCAGCAGCACGACACATCAGCAGCATCAGCACATACCAGCATCAGCACATGGCAAAATAGCGATTCCCACTTGTGCCCCCCGCCCCCTCTCCACCGCCACACGCGGAAGAATCACCATGGGAGGATTTGTTGGCAAAAAGGTGATTCCCGCATGTGACCCCCCCTCCCTCTCCACCGCCATGCGGGGGAATCACCATTTTGGAGGATTTACCTAAGGATTTACCTAAGACATAATGGTGATTCCGACGCGTCTCCACTCCCCTCCCCCGCGACATGCAGGGGAATCACCACTTTGGAGGATGTATAGGCTCTGAAAAAACAAAATGGTGATTTCCGTGCGTCAGCCCCTCTCCCAGGGTTGAGCCTAAACCCTTGTCATTGTAAGAAATTAGCTTGCCGTTGTGGTTTGAAATCTTGTCAGTGTGTCTTTGAACCCTGTCGTGGTAAGGACCTACCCTGTGCTGGAAGCTGACTCAAAAGAGAATGTGAGTTAAGGCCTTGGTGCAAGATGGGTCACAGGCCCAGTCAAAACAAACGCATCGCCAAAACAGAAAATCATCCCAAAGGTCTTGCAACTCAGCATCAGCGATGCCACGAGCGCCGTGCACCAGGTCACCTCCGGACGGGATGTCGTGAGATGCTTCGCAGTCTGAGTTTCGTCTTGGCCCACCTTTGTGTCCCAGGACATCTCCGTCTGTCGGGCCAGGGAGAAGGTGTCCTGTCTGCTAGGGCAGGGAAAAAATGTCACGCCATGCAGAAGCGACCCCTCCCTACACAAGCGCCCTAATCAACTGCTACTTGAGACAGAAACAGTCGGAATAAAGTTTAGCCCTGACTCGAAACCGGAAACCCCCCGGCAACCCCCCCATACCCTGAACCCGACATTCTATTGTGGCTCTTGTGGATCCCGAAACTTTCAAACTTCGAATTGAACGGCCTCCAGGAGCGCCAAGCGGCGGCCCTCGGGAACCTGCGGACAAGCGGCGACTCTTTCTCCCCTCGTGACATTTGGATCAAGGCATGCTTCAGGTTTGGAGTATTGGTGTCAAAGTGTGCTGGGGATGAGGAGGCCCCAAGACGTGGAAGCATTTACGCATATTTACGCCTTGAGCTTCCCCTTCTGATGTGATTCAACCTGCCACGACCTGTGCTTGAGATCCAACGACAACCCTGTCCGCCACCCGGCCTCCTTGAGGAAGTCTCGCAGGCCCCATGCGTGGCTGTCGTAGGGTTCCTACGCCGTGGCTTCAAAGACGTCGCCGTGGTTTGGGTTGGGACATCAGGGCTTCAGAATTGCTTCTTGTTGATCGGTTCTTTTCCATCCCCTGATCAAGCATCCAGAGCACCTTTGCAGGCAGAGCCAAATGTCGTCATGTTGGGGAGGGCCAGAACACTCTCGACGAACACGATCCACCACACAAGATCACCCAAGATATAACACTGGATCAGCCTTCCTCAAGAGGCACACACACAAGATGGAGCTTGCTGTCACAACATCCGCGTTAGTGTGCCCCTGCGAGCCCCTAGCATGACTAACCGGTTCAGGGCTTCGGGGATTTATTGGCCTTTGGGTATACTGTTTATGGCTTTGCAGCCTTCAGGGTCTAGGCTTCTGTTTTCGGGGACCGCTCTCCTCCTCTCCGAATCGCCGCACGCGGTCGTAGATATCTAGGAACAGCCACAGCCCATCTGCCAGACGGTCGAAGCGCTGTGTGAGCGGGTTCTCGTCAATCGAAATCTCCTCACAAATCTCGCTGCGGAGCTAGAGTTACAACTTCATGATTGGTATTATGCGAGATCGCCCTACCCAGCTTGAGGAAGCACCCTCTGTCGTCAGTCCTCGAAGCTGGTGGCAGCGGGATCTGCCGGCGTTGGCGACTCAGCTCCGTCGGAGCGTCGGGCGCTCCGCTCCGTCAGCTCCGTCCGCCCCTGACCGCTCTCTTTGGAACAGCCATCCGCTGAGCGGCTCTGCAGCAGCTCTGCGGCCACCTGCGCTCTTCAGATCCGTTGTCGTTTTGCTCCCCTCCCCCTCCCTCCCTCCCTCCCAAGCAGAGTGACCCGCTGCTTGCTCATGTTTCGGCCGACAACCCGCTGTGCTTCCGATATCTTGATACAATGCACGCTCTTCCTACCAGCTCGTTCCTCACCAATCATCATCATCGTCATCATCTCAGTTATGCATGGGTGGGCTTGAGGTAGCACTCTAAGACATGCCCACCTAGGCACACGAAGCACAACGGAAAGGCCTTGAAGCTGGTCTCAACCAGCCGGACTGCTGCATCCACAAAATCCCAGACGCAGAACAGCAGCACCTGCTACAAAACATCACGACAATACCTCTTCTCCAAGCCTGCAGCACTGCCGGACACTCGCCATGGAACCATATACAAAACTGCACAGTATCGCACCAACGCCTTCTCTGTGATTGCCGTGACCAGGGACGAATCCAGCAGCTCCAGAAAGCCTTGCTGGTTTTGTTGCACTGCTCTCTCTCTGCCCGCTCACGAATCTCTCTTTTCTTTCCGGACCTGACCTCGCAAGACTCAGCCTCCATCCACATATTCAGCATTCTGCATCGATGGCGGCAGCAGTCGCAGCAGTGTAGTTCACGACAACGACTCTTGTGGCACAGCAACACATGGCGCCACGATTTGCAAAATGTATCAAACCCAAGGACATCAAAGCTGATGACAACGGTAGCATTTGCTTCCAGACAGACGCGAGCTCAGCAGAAACTTCCAACTTCCTGCCAAGGATCTCTGGATGAGTCTGGCGCTAAGCTCGCCCAGCGACATGGCCAAAGCCGTCATGGACGTCAAGTCGGCCATGGCTGGCTGGGCAAGCGAAGATGCTGGCAAATCAGGCCTTGCTGCGATGAACATTCAAACTCCCAAAGTATGTCGTGTTGTGGTGCCACCATTCTGTGCAACGGCCACCGTCACTTACGTCAATTGCTCTGCAGCTGGAAACCGCGGATTCACAATGCGACTTTCGAGCAGAAGCTGCAGCGCGCACTGCTCCGACTCAGGTGTGCAACCAGGTAACCACGGCGGGCATGTGAATGATTAAGTGCACGCACACGTCGGAAAGCTATGATGGCGCACATCAGCTGGAACGATCACATCAACGATGCAGCGTCAACCAATTTGGCTCAATTTGGATCAAGTCAACCTATGCAAGCAGTCGTTCGGTCGCACATGTGCCCTGCCCAGATCCGAGGCCGTTTTTTCCCGAAAGCTTTGCGGAGGGTTTTTCCGTGCGGAGCCCT